GCCTGAAGATTGTCCTCGAGGAAAAATTGGACCGCAATGCTTGATTTCTTGCGCGAACATGATTTGCAAATCAATGCTGATTGCGAAAATATTACATTTTGTAACAATAATGGTTGCACATGTTCCGTTAGGTTATTGGGACATATCTTGTCGTTAGACGTAAAAGTGAATTATAATATGCTATTAAATTCTTTGTGAACTCATTTAAGCAAATGCTCAGGCACATTAAATAAAATTTTTATGACATTTTTATATAACATAATTAAACATTATATGTATACATATATGATTCATACTTCGATGAAAATCAATGTATACAAAGTTTATGTAATAATGTAATTTAATTAAAATTCCAAGTAGAACAGAAACGTCAAAATAATGTTAATTTGACATCATATATTGACCAAATTTGAATTTCAAATTTGATTAGTATGACGTCAAAATGATATTATTTTGATCTTCTGTTCTACTTAAGATAAAAGTAGAGATAAACTGTTATGTATTAATTTTGATGCTATATTATATAATTTTGTACGCGAGATGCACATTAGCACAGTAGTTTATATAGTTTAGTGTATCAGAAATATTCTATATATCTATTATTATTAGATACGAATGTATAATTTATTAATTTTTTCAGGCCTAGAAAACCAAACGTACCTAAGGTAATTTTTGTGGACACGACAAGTATAATTGTATTTCTTCCTACAACATGGAATTACACTAGTTATTATGAGGAGACAACAATTTCTTATTCTTTCGAAATTAGAGTAAATAACATTGCTATTATTTTTAATTAACTTTCTATCAGAATAGTAATTTAATTCAATAAAATTTGCAATTTATCATGCAAATATATAAAATATAAATATTTACAAACATTTAAAAAGACAAAAAGAAGATATATAAATATACGTGGATATATATAATTTTAAAGGATATATTTTTTATTATATACAGCTTTAAAGAATACATTTTTTATAGGAACTAGATGAACCAGAAACTCATTCCATTGGACAATCAAAAAAGAAATATTTCAAAATAGAATACAGTTAATAGGATACTTCGAAAATTTAAAACCTTGTACAGGATATGGAATTTGGTGTACTTCAAGAATTCCAGGCCATGAAAAACATAGTGATTCGATAACAGTTTGGACACGTTGTATTAATTTTGATGCTATATATTATAATCTTTTACGATGCACATTAGCACAGTATAGTTTATATAGTTTAGTGTATCAGAAATATTCTATATATCTATTATTATTAGATACGAATGTATAATTTATTAATTTTCTAGGCATGGAAGAACCAAACGTACCTGAGGTTTTGTTTGTGAACATGACAAGTATAGTTGTATTTCTTCTTACAACATGGCATTACACTAGTTATTATGAGATGACAGCAATTTCTTATTTATTCGAATTTAGGGTAAATAACATTACTTTTATTTTTAATTAACTTTCTATCACAGAATAGTAAATTAATTCAATAAATTTACAATTTATCATGCAAATATATAAAATATAAATATTTACAAACATTTAAAAAGACAAAAAAGGAGATATATAAATATACGTGGATATATGTAATTTTAGAGAGGATATATTTTTCATTATATATAGCTTTAAAGAATACATTTTTTATAGGGACCAGAAACTCATTTCTTTGGAGAACCAAAAAAGAAATATTTCAAAATACAACACAGTTAATAGAACACTACGAAAATTTAAAACCTTGTACAGAATATGAAATTCGGTGTACTTCAAGAATTTTAGGCTATGAAAAACGTAGTGATTCAATAACAGTTTGGACAAAATGTATTAATTTTGATGCTATAATATTATAATCTTTTACGCGAGATGCACAGTAGTCTATATAGTTTAGTGTATCAAAAATATACTATATATCTATTATTATTAGATACGAATGTATAATTTATTAATTTTCCAGGCCTAGAAAAACCAAACGTACCTGAGATTATTTTTGTGAACACGACAAGTATAGTTATTGTAGTTCTTCCTACAACATTGAATTACACCAGTTATTATGAGGAGACAGCAATTTCTTATTCTTTCGAAATTAGGGTAAATAACATTGCTATTATTTTTCATTAACTTTCTATCAGAATAGTAATTTAATTCAATAAATATTACAATTTATCATGCAAATATATAAAATATAAATATTTACAAACATTTAAAAAGACAAAAAAGGAGATATATAAATATACGTGGATATATATAATTTTAAAGGATATATTTTTCATTACATATAGCTTTAAAGAATACATTTTTTATAGGGACCAGAAACTCATTCCATTGGACAATCAAAAAAAGAAATATTTCAAAATACAACACAGTTAATAGGACAGTTCGAAAATTTAAAACCTTGTACAGACTATGAAATTTATTGTACTTCAAGAATTTTAGGCCATGAAAAGCATAGTGATTCAATAAAAGTTTGGACAGAATGTATTAATTTTGATGCTATATTATAATCTTTTACGCGAAATGCATATATTAGCACAGTAGTTTATATAGTTTATTGTATTAAAAATATACTATATATCTATTATTATTAGATACGAATGCATAATTTATTAATTTTCCAGGCCTAGAAAAACCAAACGTACCTGAGATTATTTTTGTGAACACGACAAGTATAGTTATTGTAGTTCTTCCTACAACATTGAATTACACCAGTTATTATGAGAAGACAGCAATTTCTTATTCTTTTGAAATTAGGGTAAATAACATTGCTATTATTTTTAATTAACTTTCTATCAAAATAGTAATTTAATTCAATAAAATTTGCAATTTATCATGCAAATATATAAAATATAAATATTTACAAACATTTAAAAAGACAAAAAAGGAGATATATAAATATACGTGGATATATGTAATTTTAGAGGATATATTTTTCATTATATATAGCTTTAAAGAATACATTTTTTATATAGGGACCAGAAACTCATTCCATTGGACAATCAAAAAAAGAAATATTTCAAAATACAACACAGTTAATAGGACACTTCGAAAATTTAAAACCTTGTACAGGATATGAAATTCGGTGTACTTCAAGAATTCCAGGCCATGAAAAACATAGTGATTCGATAACAGTTTGGACACATTGTGATAATAAGTCGACTACTATATTTAAAATATATAACATTTTTTGGTTCTTATTACATATATTGTGCTTTATGTATTTAAGTAATTAAACAAATCTAGTGTAATTTTATGTATATCGTTGTGCAAACATCAGTTAGATTTATTTATTTGCATAAGACGACATAAATAAAATATGAAATATATATATCTAAAAAATGTATTTTATTAAAAAGTAAAAAAAGGCGCCAAGTACGTGCGATAAAATTCACAAATCAATCAACAAGCTCCTTATAAATTATCTTGACTTTATTCCGGGCAAGAAATTTGCGATCGCGAACAAAACATAACTTAAAACATAAAACATAACATAAGAACCAATCAAATAGTTTTGGATTTAATAAGCGAAAGAAACGGAAAATTACTAAAAACCTAAGCATAAGAAGAATTTCAATCGGTTGAAATTTTTACGTACTCGGAATCTGTAGATGTGTTGGAATGGTGTGGCTCCGTTTCCTTAGCATATTAAATCTAATTGTGAAACGACTATCTGATTGGTTTTTTAGCTTATATGTATATAATATATATTATGGCTATGTTTTATGAAAATTCGTGTGTTATAACTTGTAGTCTATATTGTCTAAAATGTTTCGCAATGTTACAAATATAATTAATTATTAGAACCATATGTTCCAAAGAAAGAAAAAGTTGTCAACTCAAATGTGTGATTAGTAAGCGAAAAGTGAGGCAGTCCGATTTCTTTAGAAGTTAATCTTTTAAAATACTTATTGTTAGCTCGGTCCGTGATTGAAATATTTTATTATTGATGTACTGTGCATATGTTTATAGTAAAATATCTCTTTCGAATTTCCAAAAGAACAATTATATATAAAAATATAAAGAACAATTATATAAATTTATATAGGTGTCGAATTTTCTTTCAGATTTATTGTTATATTTAAACCATTCTTAGTCTTTGTTATGTTATTGATATGTAGGTCAACTCTTTTGATATACATTAAAATAATGACAACGGCTCATGTAAATTAAACAAATTACGGAAAAATATACAGAGTACAGGGTTTTTCCGGAAAGTAATGCGTCGCATTTTTTTGTGACGCGACTATACATCGCTGAGCGATGGGCCCGGTTGGTGAGGAAGGGGGGTACCCTTAGCTTTCCAACGGTAGGTCGCTCAATTGTTTCCATGCGCTTGGAGGGTTAGGACGGCTTATTCTGTGAACCTCTGCTTAGTGGTCGCGTCGAACTTGTGATGGAGAGAACGATAGAGCAACGCTATGCGATAAAGTTTTGCGTGAAGCTGGACAAGACGCCGCTGGAAACTTTTGAAATGCTTAAGAAAGTTTTCGGGGACGATTGCCTTTTTTTATTTCCTCGGCTGAAAAGGGAGCTCAAAGGACAACAGCTCGAGTCGGTTGACAACGTACAAGCTACTTCGACGGCCTCCCTGAACAGCATCCCAGTCAAGGAGTTCCAGAAATCTTATGACGCATGGAAATCGCGTTGGCAAAAATGTATTGACGCAGAAGGGTCATACTTCGAACAATTTTAAGTTGTTTTACCTATGCGATCAATAAATTCTTTTTTAAAAAAATGCGACGCATTACTTTCCGGACACCCTGTATATAAACAGTCGCGTACATACAAGCAACCCTGGTAAAAAGGTAAAATCTAAAATAAAGGAGGAAAAAGGGAAGAAGAAGCAAGAAGGAGAAGGAAGAAAGGGACAAATAAATAAATCAAGAGTTTCTGTAGAAGAAAGTCAGATTTTTGATTAAGGCTTTAGTTTTGGAAATATCTTGTGAAAAAATTCATTTAACAAAATATTCCGGATAAGTTACTTGATAACGGCGCGATACCTCTGACGTTAATTTCATTCTTTTAAAGCAACGTTTACACACGTAAAAATTAATATACGTCGCACGTGCTGAATTTTTACAAGGTGGTCGATTAATAATTACACGCGCGTTAATTTCACTAGCTCATTTATTATAGAGAGCGCAGTGCGGAACAGCGATTGCCAGAAAAGCCGCTAGTCAGTTAATACTAATTTATTATGTAGCAATGACTTATTATAATTTAATTTAAATAAATTAATATAATTTTTATATTAATAATTAGTATAAAAAAATATTTAAAAATGTTTAAAAAATGTGTATTTTGATTTTTTTATTAAAAAAAATTTTGTTTTGTAACATATGCAAGGCATTCCGTAGAAAATTACTGAAACTAATCAGCTGTCATTTTTTAATGCATGCAATTATTAGAGAAAACAAAAATTGTGTCGAAAATAAGAAAATCTACATTTTTAATATATATATATATATATATATGACAGCTGATTAGTTTTGGTAATTTTCTACGGAATGCCTTGTATATATATATATATATATATATATATATATATATATATATATTTTATATTTCAAATTAATTTTTTCCTCCACAATTTTTTATTGTTATATTTTATAAATTATAAAGGTAGATTAAAATTTTGAATTAAATAATTATATTATTATAATTTTTATGTTCATTTGTCATCAATTGTAATTTTCAAAAATATATTTTTATATAAAAATTAAAATTTTTTTGTTATTTGAGTTGGAAATCATTTAAATGTATTAATGAGACTTTTGCGATTGAAATGACACCAAACACGGCATAAATCGGATAATTTTTAATTAGATACGTCATCAGATTTTTTATTACAATTTTATTAAAAATTATCCGATTTATGCTTTATGTGGTGTCATTACAGTTGCAAGAGTCTCATCAATCCATTAAAATTATTTTCAACTCGATAAAATGTAAATTAAAAGTTTTAGTTTTGATATAAAAGATTCTTATTATTCGTATTTGTGTTCGCAGAAAATATGCGATTGTTTTACGAATAAGTATTAATATTTCAGTATTAAATGCTTTAGTAAAAGTTAATTTCTTTAGATAAATATATATATATATATATATATTGTTATAAAACAACTAGATAATTCAATAATTGAGCTTTGAGAAAAATACAATTTCGGAGATTTACTGATATTGAATACATCTCATAATCAATATGTACAGATTCTTTTGCGATTAGAAATTCAAAATCATGTACGCGCGCGCACGTACATATATACACAACCAACATGGCACAGAGGGTCAAAACCTAAATAAGAAAATTGAAAAATTAAAAAATTTATTAAAATAACTTTTATTAATTTATTAATATAACTTCTTTATTAAATTTGTAATCTCATTTTTAATTGCTCATTAATATTTTTTCATTTTATTCATATTGCGCAAGGTATATTTTATGTGCACGGACAAACTGCAGAACTTTTTTATTAAATAACTATTGTTACGAACTGACACAAAAGAAGCCGATAACAAAACTGTATAATTTTTCATTTTTATATGATTTATATATGGATTCGAATTATGGCCAGCGCGGTCCGTCTTTATAAGTACTTTAATCGTGGAAAAGGATTTATTGATCTGTATAATTAATAAAAAGATATCCCAAAATAATTAATATTCGCATTCGGTCTGTAAAAACATTTCTCCGGCATCCCCTTAAAAATGTCGACAGAGAGTTGCGCATTGTGATACGGCGCAACTGTCGCTCTTTCAAAGAACAGATTCTACTCGTTCGTGTTCTTCTGTTCAGTTTATATTCAATACGTGGGACTGTATGTTTCTTGTGATATCTATTGGCGGAAGGCAAATACAATAGCGTAAAATAAACAACAAATTAGATAAAATAAGATAGAAATAAATAACAAATTAGAATATTTATTTTACTATATTATTTTGTTTTATTTCTAATAATCATTGGAATTATAAACGAATTTCACATTTATTAATTATGAAAACAGTGATACTGGACATAATATTTCTCATGTTTGTGAACCAAATTATGTATGTTTTTGGAAATATAAGCATATTGAGTGGACCGGTAAATTCGACTGATTATAGAAAATTAATATGTGTCTCGAAGGATGATGGCAGCGCCCTTGTGTGGATCAACACATTAAATTACAATACCATTACAGAAAGCAGCAAACGTAAGTTATAAAAATATAAATAAACATTTTTACAGTTCCACAATAAAGCAAAATATAGAAGTTTTAACAAGATTTCATTTATTATTATAAAAATATATCCCATAGCGAGAAATGGTAGTCAAATCGACGTCGATTCGACCAATTCTTCCTTACTGGGATATATAATAAAACTCTTATTAAATTTTATATTGAACATTCTTATTAAATTTTATATTGAACATTTATTCATAAAGTCTTCACTTTATTATATTGTTACGTTTTCTCGGATTTCACCTCCTAAACCTTCTCTTCGCGGAAGATCGTTAATAAAGGACAAATAATAATCGACATGTATTTAGTTGACACACGTCATGTAGCTATTGTGATGTGTCTTTCGAGACGAAAGATATTGTTTTCGTTTTTTCTATATACATATACGTGTTATTAACTGTCTTGGACTGTATGTGCATCACGTGATCAGAGAAACACGCGAGAAAATACAAAACAGTGAGACAACTAGCATCTTTACGATTGATTCAATCGATATATTTCTTGTTCTATCTTATATCGGTTACATATTTTCTTTTATTAAAAATATATGTTGTCATTTCTCGTCGCAAGTAAAAGTTTTGGTGAGACGTTGCACGCTTCAATTATTAATGTCAAAATCAGTCTGCGTATATATTTTTAAACTTGATATATTAAAATATATTTTTAAATTTTGATTTTGTATGTGTATATCTATTTTTAAACATTGTTTTATGTATGAAAGAATTTTCTAAAAAATACTTGAGCTAGAACAATTTTTACAGACATACACTCTTCTAAATAATTAGAGAATAAAAAAATTGTTCCAAAAATAAATAAATTTTAAATAGTTGTAATTTTGTTTCGAAGAATGATAACTTAAATTTTAAAAAAAGATTTTCAAGCTTGAAATCCCTACTTTTGAAAGATCATAGATACTTTCGAAAGATCTACTTTGAAAGATCATAGATATATCATACTAAAGAGCAAAGATTCAGCTTTAAGAATCCATTTTTAAAATTGCTGTTTTTTTACGGAATTATGAACTATCAAAAGTGAGAATGACATTTTCTCTTCAACTTAGAATAACTTGATAAAAAAGTTTAAAATTTAAATTTAAAAATGCGATTTTACAAGGAATACTTTAGGCTTTAACGCGAATATATTTTTCAAATTTTCTTCTGCATGCGACACGTCCACAAAGTAAGTAGAAATTTTTTATTTCGTAATGTTTGTCGCTTCTATATGTAAAAAGTATCAGAATGGGAGAAAATGAAAAAAGCTATGACCTTTGTAATGTAGAGATTTTAAGCTTTAAAATCTTTTTTTAAAATTCGCATTATCATTTTTCATAACTTTACAACCTTTTAAAATTTGCTTATTTTTTCGTTAATCAATGTTTTCTATTGACTATTTTTATCAGGCTTATTGCAGAAAATTAAATATATGAATATATGTATATATTATCACTTTCTGTTGCGAGTGTGAGTATGCGTGAGACGTTGCTTTGATTAATATCAAAATTGAGTCGTGAGCAACAATATTATATGTATAATTTAATTATCCAATTATTTCAGAGATTTACAATTCGAATAAATACATTAATAACGAAATAGATTGCAAAATGAATAGGAAAGATGAAGAGTGCTTAAAGTCATGGAGTAAACCGAAATGGAGTTTCACAAGTTCTCTTGAAACGCCTATGGGTCCGGTATTTGATGAACGATGGGAAGGTAGATGCTTCGCAAGTTAAAAAAGAATTGCAATATTTAAAATACATTACGATATTTATCACATATAATATATTAATATTATATTTAAATTTCAGATTTTAAGGAATATGAAATTAAAAGAAATGAATATGATTCTATAGATTTAAATACTTCTACAATAGTATTCTCGTTTTTAAGATATAAATTTATGCAGATATTATTTTGTAATAGAGGAGAAGATTCCATGCATTATTGCCATCGGCTTATAATAACTGAATTTGGTCGTGACATAATTTACAAGATAGAAACTTGCGAGGGAAAATCTTACGAGAACGAGGACTTATTACAAACTTTATATCCTAAATGCAAGCACGCAACTGGCTATAGAGTAATATACTTTTATTTAAAATAAAATTTTATTTATTTATAATAAAAACGTTGTAAAATTTAATAAAATTTTTTTTTGCCTGAATTGGTCGATTAAATCATTACCATTTTTTTAAAATAAAATTATTATTAATTTTGAAATTACACGCATTAATATCATATATTATTCTTAAAATTGAGAGCCGATAAAAATATTTCTCATTTGATTTTTATTCTAATTTTATTTTAAGAAAATCTAAATAGATGCAAAACTAAACACAAAATATGAATTGACAATTAATATAGAGCAATCACAATTCTAATTGGCATACGATTACAATTATAAGGAATCCTATGACTCAAAGTATATTCTTTTATAACACTGATGACGTCGATATGACATATGAAAACATTAATAAACAAAATAGAACAATGAATTTTTTATTTTCTACTACTTTTTACTATCGTATAATTTTTGGATCTATATTTCTTTCGCCTAAGCCCCAAAGTACATCACTAGGAAAGATACGATTTCATATATGTAAGTACAACTTCTAAATATAATTCTATTAATGAAATTATTTTAAATAGAGCAACAACTGAACAATTTTAAACAAAAGTTTTATTTACAAACATATTTTAGATGACTTTCTACATACGACATTTAAGGATGCAATTTTAACGAGTCCAACTTTTACAATATATAATCAAACAATATGTGTAGAAATGTTAATTGGCCTTTGCGCAGAATGCGACGCAAATATAATATTACTTGATTCTGCAAATGATATAATATTGAAAAATGTAACAATAAAAGGTTTAACTGCGAAACATGGCTTGCCTATGTGGCAATCTGTTCAAATAAAGGAAAATCTTACAACGGCATATTATGTTAATGTGTCAATGCAATTAATTCCTAAGCTCAGTACATTTACTTCTAATCCATTATGGGCAATAGCGAATGTTCGTCAGTGTCCGCAAAATGGTATATATTAAAAAATTTTTAATTTTGTTACATCTACAAAATTGTTATATCTATAATTGCCAAAATATCGATAAAGTCAATTTAATGTGTGTGCATGTAGACAAAAAAATTCTAAAAATTTTTAAACACATTAATTTTTTTACATGTAATTTAATTATACTTTTTAGGAACTTTAAAAGCAGTTGTATTACATCAAAAATGGATTTTTCGTACATCAAAAAGAACGTACAAGATTCGCCTATAGAATGTCAAAAATTATTTTACGATGAACAAATTTATCTATCTTCTTGGTCAAATCTAACAATAAGTATGAAACTATTAAAGAATATCATTCAACTATATTTTATAAGTGAAATTTGACATTATTTTGGATAATATTATATGATTTATATTTTATACGTATAAGTAGAATTTTTAACATTATTTTTTGAGTATTTACAAAAAAAACCGGATAAACTTCCGAAAATGACCTACGTCCGATTGTCATGAATTTTTGTAGAAATACTCTAAATGATCTCAAATGGTCAATCGGTAAAAATCTGTTTAAGGATAAATTTATTTGACATCATTTAAAGTATTTGTACAAAAATTCATAAAATCGGGCGTGACGTGGGTCGTTTTTAGAAGTTTGCACCCAAAAAACTGTTAAAAAAATTATCTGTCTTTTTATTCTTCTATCTTTTTATAGAACCTGAAGATTGTCCTCGAGGAAAAATTGGACCGCAATGCTTGATTTCTTGCGAACATGATTTGCAAATTAATGCTGATTGCGAGGATATTACATTTTGTAACAATAATGGTTGCACATGTCCGTTAGGTTATTGGGACGTATCTTGTCGTAGACGTAAGTGAATTATAATATGCTATTAAATTCTTTGTGAACTCATTTAAGCAAATGCTCATGCACATATAAATTATTTTTATGACATTTTTATATAACATTATTAAACATTATATGTATACATATATGATTAATACTTCGATAAAAATCAATGTATACAAAGTTTATGTAATAATGTAATTTAATTAAAGATCCCAAGTAGAACAGAAACGTCAAAATAATGTCAATTTGACGTCATATTGACAAAATTTGAATTTCAAATTTGATCAGTATGAGTCAAAATGATATTATTTTGATCTTCTGTTCTACTTAGGATAAAAGTAGAGATAAACTGTTATGTAATTAATTTTGATGCTATATTATATAATTTTTTACGCGAGATGCACATTAGCACAGTAATTTATATAGTTTAGTGTATCAGAAATATTCTATATATCTATTATTATTAGATACGAATGTATAATTTATTAATTTTTCAGGCCTAGAAAAACCAAACGTACCTAACGTTTTTTTTGTGGGCAGGACAAGTATAATTGTAGTTCTTCCTACAACATGGAATTACACTAGTTATTATGAGGAGACAACAATTTCTTATTCTTTCGAAATTAGAGTAAATAACATTGCTATTATTTTTAATTAACTTTCTATCAGAATAGTAATTTAATTCAATAAAATTTGCAATTTATCATGCAAATATATAAAATATAAATATTTACAAACATTTAAAAAGACAAAAAAGGAGATATATAAATATACGTGGATATATATAATTTTAAAGGATATATTTTTCATTATATATAGCTTTAAAGAATACATTTTTTATAGGAACTAGATGAACCAGAAACTCATTTCATTGGACAATCAAAAAAAGAAATATTTCAAAATACAGCACAGTTAATAGGACACTTCGAAAATTTAAAACCTTGTACAGGATATGAAATTCGGTGTACTTCAAAAATCCCAGGCCATGAAAAACATAGTGATTCGATAACAGTTTGGACACATTGTATTAATTTTGATGCTATATATTATAATCTTTTACGATGCACATTAGCACAGTAGTTTATATAGTTTAGTGTATCAGAAATATTTTATATATCTATTATTATTAGATACGAATGTATAATTTATTAATTTTCCAGGCCTAGAAGTACCAAACGTACCTGAGGTTTTGTTTGTGAACACGACAAGTATAGTTATTGTAATTTTTTTTCATCATTGATTTACACTGGTTATTATGAGAAGACAGCAATTTCTTATTCTTTTGAAATTAGGGTAAATAACATTGCTATTATTTTTAATTAACTTTCTATCAGAATAGTAATTTAATTCAATAAAATTTACCATTTATCATGCAAATATATAAAATATAAATATTTACAAACATTTAAAAAGACAAAAAAGGAGATATATAAATATACGTGAATATATATAATTTTAAAGGATATATTTTTCATTACATATAGCTTTAAAGAATACATTTTTTATAGGGACCAGAAACTCATTCCATTGGACAATCAAAAAAAGAAATATTTCAAAATACAACACAGTTAATAGGACACTTCGAAAATTTAGAACCTTGTACAGACTATGAAATTTATTGTACTTCAAGAATTTTAGGCCATGAAAAGCATAGTGATTCAATAAAAGTTTGGACAGAATGTATTAATTTTGATGCTATATTATAATCTTTTACGCGAAATGCATATATTAGCACAGTAGTTTATATAGTTTAGTGTATCAAAAATATACTATATATCTATTATTATTAGATACGAATGCATAATTTATTAATTTTCCAGGCCTAGAAAAACCAAACGTACCTGAGATTATTTTTGTGAACACGACAAGTATAGTTATTGTAGTTCTTCCTACAACATTGAATTACACCAGTTATTATGAGAAGACAGCAATTTCTTATTCTTTTGAAATTAGGGTAAATAACATTGCTATTATTTTTAATTAACTTTCTATCAGAATAGTAAATTAATTCAATAAAATTTACAATTTATCATGCAAATATATAAAATATAAATATTTACAAACATTTAAAAAGACAAAAAAGGAGATATATAAATATACGTGAATATATATAATTTTAAAGGATATATTTTTCATTACATATAGCTTTAAAGAATACATTTTTTATAGGGACCAGAAACTCATTCCGTTGGACAATCAAAAAAAGAAATATTTCAAAATACAACACAGTTAATAGGACACTTCGAAAATTTAGAACCTTGTACAGACTATGAAATTTATTGTACTTCAAGAATTTTAGGCCATGAAAAGCATAGTGATTCAATAAAAGTTTGGACAGAATGTATTAATTTTGATGCTATATTATAATCTTTTACGCGAAATGCATATATTAGCACAGTAGTTTATATAGTTTAGTGTATCAAAAATATACTATATATCTATTATTATTAGATACGAATGCATAATTTATTAATTTTCCAGGCCTAGAAAAACCAAACGTACCTGAGATTATTTTTGTGAACACGACAAGTATAGTTATTGTAGTTCTTCCTACAACATTGAATTACACCAGTTATTATGAAGAGACAGCAATTTCTTATTCTTTCGAAATTAAGGTATATAACATTGCTTTTATTTTTGATGAACTTTCTATCAGAATAGTAATTTAATTCAATACAATTTACAATTTATCATGCAAATATATAAAATATAAATATTTACAAACATTTAAAAAGACAAAAAAAAGATATATAAATATACGTGGTTATATGTAATTTTAGAGGATATATTTTTCATTATATATAGCTTTAAAGAATACATTTTTATAGGGACCAGAAACTCATTCCATTGGACAATCAAAAAAAGAAATATTTCAAAATACAACACAGTTAATAGGACACTTCGAAAATTTAAAACCTTGTACAGGATATGAAATTCGGTGTACTTCAAGAATTCCAGGCCATGAAAAACATAGTGATTCGATAACAGTTTGGACACATTGTGATAATAAGTCGACTACTATATTTAAAATATATAACATTTTTTGGTTCTTATTACATATATTGTGCTTTATGTATTTAAGTAATTAAACAAATCTAGTGTAATTTTATGTATATCGTTGTGCAAACATCAGTTAGATTTATTTATTTGCATAAGACGACATAAATAAAATATGAAATATATATATCTAAAAAATGTATTTTATTAAAAAGTAAAAAAAGGCGCCAAGTACGTGCGATAAAATTCACAAATCAATCAACAAGCTCCTTATAAATTATCTTGACTTTATTCCGGGCAAGAAATTTGCGATCGCGAACGAAACATAACTTAAAACATAAAACATAACATAAGAACCAATCAAATAGTTCTGGATTTAATAAGCGTAGGAAACGGAAAATTACTAAAAACCTAAGCATAAGAAGAATTTCAATCGGTTGAAATTTTTACGTACACGGAATCTGTAGATGTGTTGGAATGGTGTGGCTCCGTTTCCTTAGCATATTAAATCTAATTGTGAAACGACTATCTGATTGGTTTTTTAGCTTATATGTATATAATATATATTATGGCTATGTTTTATGGAAATTCGTGTGTTATAATCTGTAGTCTATATTGTCTAAAATGTTTCGCAATGTTACAAATATAATTAATTATTAGAACCATATGTTCCAAAGAAAGAAAAAGTTGTCAACTCAAATGTGTGATTAGTAAGCGAAAAGTGAGGCAGTCCGATTTCTTTAGGAGTTAATCTTTTAAAATACTTATTGTTAGCTCGGTCCGTGATTGAAATATTTTATTATTGATGTACTGTGCATATATGTTTATATTAAAATATCTCTTTCGAATTTCCAAAAGAACAATTATATATAAAAATATAAAGAACAATTATATAAATTTATATCCCATACAGCAAAGAATTTTCTATGAATGTGCTATAAACATTATATGAATATCCTAATATTCCATGGGTCATTCAAAATATTCTATAGAAGTTCTATGAATATTTCATGGAATTTTGTCAATTCGGAATGTGTATATAATATTCCTGAAATATTCTAACAAATGTAGTATATTTAGAAAATGCGTGGAATGTTTTATAAATATTCTGATAAATATAGAATATTTAGAATATTCATAGAACATTCTGCAAATATTTTTAAAATATTTATAGTATGTGCTATGAATATTTGGAAAAATTTTTTAGAACTTGCTATGAATATTTTGATAATATTCTACTAACATTCCGATGAACATAAATATTCAGAATATAAATGGAATATTTTTTAGATATTAATGGAATATTGCTGGAACATTCTAGACACATTTTAGAAAAATATAGAAAACCTTCTGAATGTTCTATAAATATTTGAAGAATATTTATAGAACAATCAGAAGGTTTTCTATATTTTTCTAAAATGTGTATAGAATGTTCCAGCAATATTTCATTAATATCTAAAAATATATTCTATTTATATTCTGAATATTCATGTTCATCGGAATGTTTGTAGAATACTATCAAAATATTCATAGTAAATTTTAGAAAATTTTTCAAAATGTTTATAGCACATACTATAAATATTTTACAAATATTTGCAGAATGTTCTACGAATATTCTAAATATTCCACATTTATCAGAATATTTATAAAACATTCCACGCATTTTCCAAATGTACTACATTTATTAGAATATTTCGGGAATATTATATACACATTCCGAATTGACAAAATTCCATGAAATATTCATAGAACTTCTATAGAATATTCTGAATGACCCATGGAATATTAGGATACTTATTCAATGTTTATAGCACATTCACAGATAATTCTGTGCTGTATATATGCTGTATATAGAAATCAACATTAATATATAAAAATATTTAGAAGTAAATATAATTGTTTCAATGGAGTATCTATACACAGGCAAATATAATATATCTATACAGGCGAAAAATGTCATTGGTCATTCGTAAAAATTTTCTGAAAGTTTTTCAATATTTAAGAAATTTTCTTTAAAGTTTTTATGCTTTATGAGAATAATTATTAATTATTAATATATCTTTTTTACTTCACTTTTAACTTTTCAAAATAAGTTGAATGGATATCAATCAGTTGAAATAGTTAAATGATATTATTTCTGCCCACCAAATTTTCTGCGCACATATATTGCTAGTTAATTGTTTTTACTGTTGCGCATGTGCGACTCAGTCTCGCGCGCATTCTGTCCAGCCATCGCGCCCATCGCGTGTCGCGTGTGCATCAAGAATCAAGAGCCGTACGTATATTGTTCAGTGAGCAAGTCTGAATGTGTTTCTGTCCCGTTTTGTTCTGATTTCCTCTTTGGGAGGCTAAGACTGCATAGGAATCTGCTACCACACCACTGTTTTGGTCAATATAAACAGGCTTTGAGCTTGCCAGTGTTAATAATCTCGAAGGAAGAAGGAAGGAAAGTATGTATAATCGTTCGTAAAAATCTATTATCTACGTTAATTTTATGAGTACCAAGTAATTTTTAGAAATATGGTTTATTGTAGATAATTTCATGATAATTTTTAATATTTTTAGATATAAATTATAGATTTAAATTTATTTCTAAATATAAATTCGTAAGACCTATAATTTAAGAGGTTATACACAAGTCACAGCACGTGTTTATTATATTATCAGTATATGGAAATAGAAAGTATAATTATAAAATACTATGGATATAAATTCATAAAAAAATAATTTGATAAGTTTGATTAGGTTATAAATTGCAGTACGTTTAATTATTGTGTTAATTTTGCAGATGTTAATCATAATATATATAATTGTAATTTGTAATATACATATATAATAGAAATGTTGCTTCTAATATATTAAAATTTTATAAAATTATATATATCGAATATATTATTAAAGAAAATTAATGTTTAGGTTTGTTTTTAATTTTTGTTTCAGGTACTTAATATTATAAGACGTACATAAATAAAATATTCGTTAATGTACAAATGTGATATAATTAATAAAATATCTATAAAATAATATTTAAATTTTTCTTGCGAATTTATGATGAATTTCTAATTAATTGGTATAAATTAACATAAATTTGTACAATTTCAATTAATATTTATCTATAAAATGCCAAAAATTAAGAGTAAAAGACATTTTAATCGAAAAATAAACGATAATATAAAAGCGTCGATGGCTTTAATTGAGTTACAAAGCCATATCAACATAATTGAATCGACCGAAATTACTTGTTCAAGTAATAAAATAATAAGTATCGATGAAGACGCGAGTACACAAATTAGCACAAGTCCTGATTTTCAGTTAATCAATGTATCATCAAGTGAAGAAATTCACGAAAATGTCGCTGAATCAAATATTTATGTCAACAATATCGAAGAAAATTTTCTAAATAATACATCTCTTTTAAATAATTTTATGGTATCCTTATATAGCGTTGATAATGACGAAGACATAATAAATTGTAATAATGATTTATCCACTTGCGCAAAAAAAAAAGATAAAAATACATCACTGCGAAAAAAGTTAGCATCATGGTCCATTAAGGAAAATATTACTCAAAATAGTTTTAAAAAACTTTTAGAAATTCTTCGAAATGAAAATGATTTGACTTCATTTCATAATTTACCAAAAGATCCGAGAACAATGTTATCTACTCCAAGCAATCTTACTTCTGTAAAAATGAGCACTGGTTTTTTTATTACTTTGGAATTGCTCAGTCTATTAATATATTAATTAATCAATGTAATGCATTCCTTCCTAATTATACATCTTTTGAATTAGCCGTAAATATAGATGGTTTGCCTATTAGTAAAAGCAGTTCAACTTGTTTATGGCCAATATTAGTTCAAATAAAGTCAATTGAAGTTTTGAAAAAATATGTCTTAATGGTAGCTCTATATCATGGTAATGGTAAACCGAAAAACCCGAATAAATATTTAGAAGAATTTGTAAATGAAGCAATTTACTTGATTACAAATGGAATTTTTATCAACAATCAAAAATACGATTTTAAAATAAAAGTTATAATATGTGATGCGCCCGCTAAATCTTATATTTTAAATGTAAAAAACCATACTGGTTATCATAGCTGCACTAAATGCAAAGTGGAAGGTTATTTCGTTAATAATGTGTTGTGTTTTCCACAGACAAATTTTATAAAGAGAACAGATACTGAATTTAGACAACAATATGATGAAGATTATCACAAAGGGATAACCATTTTGACGAATTTGCCTCATTTTCATATGATTAAAGACGTTATACTAGATTACATGCATCTTATTTGTTTAGGAGTGATGAAAAGATTGATTACACATAAAAAATATGGTTGGGTGTTGGGTAAACCACCATATAAGCTTTCACATAGACAAGTAGAATCGATTTCAAATAAAATCAAAAGCTTAAATAAATATATCCCAATTGAATTTCCACGTAAAGGTAGATCGCTTGAAGAATGTCCTCGTTTTAAGGCAACGGAATTTAAACTCATATTATTATATACAGGACCCATAATTCTAAAACAATTTCTTCCAAAAAATAATTATTATCATTTCTTGACATTACACGTTGCTACTCTAATAATGTGTAGTAATGAATTCTGCAAAAAAATAGATATGATAAATTATGCAAAAGATCTAATAAAATGCTTTGTTGAAACAAGTATTAATATTTATGGTCAAGATTTTGTTTCTTATAACGTACATAATTTGTTACATATACATGAAGATGTCATACGATTTGGTAATTTAAATGAATTTTCAGCTTTTCCGTTCGAGAATTATATGATGCAATTAAAAAAAATGATCAGAAAAAAAGAAAAACCACTTGAACAAATAATACGTCGTGTTTCCGAATATAATAATATTCCAAGATTAGAAAATCACTTTGAAAATAATATTATTGCCAAAGAACATTATAACGGACCTTTATTACCAAATTGTTTAGGTCAATATAAAGTATTAAAATTAAAATCTTGTACTTATAAATTAAACACTGCTGATTGTTATGTACAAATGTTGGATAATGAAATTGTTCAAATATGCAACATAACTTACTGTAATAATATTATTTGTATTATTGGGCAAACATTTCTTGAGAAAA